TTCACAGCCAAATTTCTCTCTGCTGAAACAGAGATGCTAGTTCAGTTCGAATTAGATCTTAGTGTTTCTAGATTCATATTATCCTAGCACTAAATTTACATAAAGTGAAATACGTGATAATGGCCGAAACGTTATTCTTCGTGTTGTGAACCTGTCGGTTCAGTTCAGTCGGTATTCTTGGAATATGCATTTTCTGTTCGTTTTAGCTAGTCTACTTGCTTTACTCTGTTGTTTGAGTGCCGAGGCGGTTCCGATGTTGATATGGATCCAGATTTANATTTTGAAATCTGCTTGAAATTTGGCTCCAGACAGTACTGAAGTTCTTATGATCATTGTCATTTGAGTTACTTCTAGTTATCTTTCAGCAATAAATTACCGATTATCTTAAGGGCACAGTGATTCCAGAAAATTTATTGTTTTATGGTTTGCTCCCTTCACACTTGATAATAGAATAAACAACAAGACGAAAGTAAGCCCAACAGTCAGGTCAGCTAAGTTAACTTTTCCCACGCCCCCCCCTCCCCCACTTTGCTCATTAAACGTTCATCAAGTGACTATGATATCTTTATCTAGCATATTTAATGGAAGTTTTCAACGCACTTTTACTATCTATTCTTGGGTTCGAATCTTACCAACCCATTTAAGATTTTCGCTATTATAATGCATGGAAAATTCACCGCATCTGCCAAGTAAATCTGGGAACTTCCTTCAGAGATGACTTTTCCCTCCATGGACCACGTTTCAACAGTTAATAAAACATAGCACAGTGACCAGTTGAGAATATGTGCATGACGCTAAGAGCCAATCCGGAACAGTGGACCGACAGTCAATGCATCAAAGAACAAAACACTGAACCGAAACCCGAAGGTCTTGCGTGACAGGCCTCTAGAAGTTCCCATACGGGTGCTTCGGTCACGCTGCCGCGTTGGATCTACGCCCCACTGCCTTTTGGGTCAGACTTTTAAGTCAAAGGCTCCGGTTAGCGTTCCCAAAGAAGAAAATCCTTCATCGGTGTGGACTGCCGCTAAGTTTATCGTGCCTTAGAATCTTAGGCACCCACCCATGATAAATTGTGAATTCCACGTGTTGCGAACCGTAGTTTCTTTCATCTTCAGTAGGTTCAGCATCTCCCTATCCATCTTTCCTGCTCACTAATCTGTATGCTGTTGAAAGTGCCAATTGTTTACCGTACAATCTACTTCGGACGGGAATGTTAATGCACAAATTTGTGCACACAATATCTTTGAATATAGCAAATATGACAATGTGTAGCCTACACTTCGAGGACACATGGGCTACTTTGCTGGTCAGAAAGTAGGATGCACGGCACATTAAAATAGACTGCCAAAATGGTAGACACTTCGCCAGTTAATTCGGTGCTAGTCTACTACTTGGCAAATGAGATGGAACACTGAAGTTTATGGTGTTGCATTCACCCATTGTTACTCACGGTTATTGTACGCGTGATCTTCACTGTGTACACTAAGCAATAAATGCATAACAAATAGTATCATGACCGTGTGAGGCTCATTGTATGGTCACTTTATGGTCACTCACAAAATGGTGCGTGTGAAAATTCTAACCCATCTGAAACATTCCTCCTTTTACAACCATTCGGATAGTTTGAATGTGTGTGTGTGTGTGCGTTCAATGGGTCGCATTGAGTTGAATATACCTTACAATGAAGAATTGTGCTGTAATCGATAGAAATAATCAACAATTTTGTCTGAGACATGAATTTCTGGCCCTAGGTAGGCAGGGAAGAGAAAAAAAAGAGTTGCTAGTTCTGATTCAGAGAATGTGTCCATTAACAAATTGCTATTTTTCTTGTGTAGCTCCTTTCCATTGTGAATTACACAAATACACACCCCAATGGACTGGTAGTCTAGAAACATTCACTGTTGCAAAAATTGTTCAGCCTGTCTGCGTCGCCACACCGTAAACCCTGACTTGATTTTCTGTCACAGTCACTCAACTTGTCTTGTTTAGTTGCACAACATTCGTGCCTCGCGATATCAGAGAATCACGAGCCACAAGTGAATCCTCTTCTTAAAAGCAAGGAAATCGAAAAGTTTCAGTTTCAGAGATCTATCGTGTTGTTTTTTGTCGCTGCGCTGCCGTTAGACGTTGTTCTGCTTTCAACGCTAGCCGAGAATCCAATCTGAAACTCATTATATCCCGATATGTTCACCACTGATTGTTTTCGCTGTTTATTGGTTACTTTGAAAATCCAGCTCCCTCTCTCCGTTACCAGCATTCAACGAAATTGCATCCTGTGTTCACGACCTGGGGATGCACCTAGTAGTATGCATCTAACCTTACGCCCTGGTAACCATATCCAAGGTCTCTAGGCTTAATCCAATCTCCAATACGCATCAGATGACCTTTTCAATCTTGGTTTCGGTTCCCTCCTAGTGCTGCTGACCTCGTCTTCTTCATTGATGATAATAAACTGCATTATCCTACAATTCATTGATTACGACAGCGTATGACGAACTCCAGTACACATTTGATATACTAAACTGACCAACTTGCACCAAGTTTTCCATACGTGCTGCGACTTGCCATGATGTAACCCACGGTGTCCAAGTTACACCAGGTCATCTGAATTATTCACGTGTTAAATTTCAGTGGTTGCATAATAACCAAAGCATAATTGAATGCGTGAACATCTTGACGTGAAACCGGCGGAAAGCAGCAAGCATATCACTGCCTGTTCAAAGCTTGATCAGCGAAAAAATTAAAATTCGCGTTATTATACTTTACTGCCATGTGCTTGTGGCACTCATTTTCTTTAATTAAACTTTGTCTTAACCTTGGGTTAAGGAATATCCTCATCTCTGAAAATTTTTTCATAGTTTGCTATGTACATTGTGACGGTTAGTGTGTATGATTTTTTCATT